TATAAACTGTTCCAGTGGCTGGCATAACCTGCTGAGTAGGATGTCATTACTATGAGGCATATCCTGAAACATGGTGGAAGAGGAACAATGTTTCTTGAGCATTCTCCTATGTCTTTTGTTGCTAATCCTTCAACCTCACTAATGCTTAGTGCAACGTTCTTTAAACAAAAACAGAGCACAGAAAAATTAACCAAGTCATATATAATATGAGAAGTCTTATATAAGCTGGATTGGGAAGGCCACCCAAGGTCTCTATTTTTTAACCTATTCTCATCTAGGTTCAGTATTTTGACTTAAAATCTTATTCATTCTCAGAAAGAAACACAGCCAGACTGCCTCTACTTGAATTTGAGGTCTCTGGGGTTCATCTGGAGTCCCTGTGTGGTACAAACAGTGCTGCTAACACAGGTTGGTGGTTTGAGTCTACCCAGAGGTGCCTCGGAAGAAAGTCCTGGCTATCTACTTTCAAAAAATCAGCCATTGAAAACCCTATGGAGCACCATTCTACCCTGACACACATGGGGTCACCAAGAGTCAGAGTTTAGTTAACTCATTGGTGACTGTTTAACTAGTTTTGGATGTTCACCTATAGGCTTTAGGAGGTGACGCAGGTGAACCTGTAAATAGTGCCTTTCATTCTGAACTGATGCCCAGCCATTCCCCTGGAAAGCTCAAGTCATGATCATGAGTTGTGAAAAAGCAGAGAACATTTTAGGATGACGATCTACCTGGCTCAGCATTAGTCACTCCATGCTGGACTTAGAACACAGGATATTATGTTTTCTGACAAATATTTCCTGGAAGTCAGATTCCAAAGTCCCCTTTGTCCTTGGGTTGTTTAACGCTTCACTCATTTGCCTTGCTTTGTTAGGGCCTGGCCGCCTGCCATTCCTATGATAAAGGCAGTGGGGAATGTCTCACCTATCTTGGTAATTTTAGCTTTTGTCCCATTTTCCAGGCAAGATTTCAAACTTTTAATTACCCACTTAGTAAAACCCAGATGTCCCATTTGAAAGACCTATTCCCATTAGGGAATTTTAATTTCCAAGCAATAGTTGGATGAAATCTTAGAGTTTTACAGCATCCCATTTCCAGAACTTTAGCTTTGCTCTTTTTTTTTCTCCATGAGTAAATAGGACTATAAACTTTTAATTCTGAAAACCTATTTTAAATAGAATTGGGAGTATCCCACAATCCATTACGTTGGAGCTTTCTAAGCCCTAACTTGTTCTTTTCAAAATATTTCTTAGCATGCATTTGGTTCATAAACCTTCTTGGGGTTCTAAGAGGATAAGTGACTTTCAGTTTGAAAATACATTATGAAGTATTCCAGTTCTTATAGTTTAAAAAATACCCTGGTCAACGTCTTACAACATTTACCTGACAGTGATTTTGATAAACTGATTCATCACTGGGTTGGAAAAGGGCCAGAGTGAGATGGCTCTTGGACTGATTTACTGTGGTCATGTGTATTGGCAGAAGAGCATGGGTCTTGTTTGACCTTGTTTACACAGGATATTTCCACAGCCGTGCTAGCTTCAAGTCTCAACTTCAACTGCTTATCTCCAATGACCAAACTAGCTAGATGAATGGCCTGTTGGTGGTGTTCCACATCAAGCGGCCATTTTTCAATTTCAAGAGAAAATATTTGAGAATTGAAAGTGGTTATATGGATATGTAGGTAAAATAACAATGTAAGGATTTAACTTTCATAATCACATTAAGATTTACATTAAAGCACAGGTGATTAAAACTGCTATTTCAAGGTGGCCTTTTATATGACCTAGGGGTGATTTACTACGCCTGATCAGGGCAATTTCAGGATAGGATGCAAGCTGCAACTCTTGACTGAGTGAAAAGTGACACTTTATTTACATTTTTTACTCTTCAAAGTGCCTCCAAAGGCACTCAGGATCACAATAACTTTATTTCCTACACCCAGAAAATGCACAAATAGGGAAGACCTCCCAATGGCTGGCAGAACCACAGACTTTTAAAGTCCACGGGCATCAGTCATGGTGAATTCTGCAGGAGTGGCATTCGGGGAAGCACAAATGTGCAGTGGGCTGGAGTGGCCAGGCAGAGGACAAGGCTCCAGGTTTGCCCTCCACTCCCACTCCCTCCCCTTTCTGACCTCATCGTCTATTCCTCTCCCCTCACTCAGCTCCACGCCCTTGAGTTTTCTTGCTGGTATTTGAACACACCAACATGCTCCAGCCTCAGAAAGCTCACACTTGCTGTTTTCATTGGCTATCCTATTTAAAATTGCAACTCTTCCACATTTCTTAACCTTTCTCCTTCTTTATTTTTCATCACTTGCCACATATTATATTCGTAGTTTATTTATTTTGCTTATTTTCTGGGCTCCCTTCTTTCCACTCCCACCTCAAACCCTTCCCTCCGCAGAGCCTATGAGTTCAGTGATTTTAGTCTCTTTTCCTCCCCCTGGTGGCACAGTGGTTAAAGCACTCAGCTGCTAGCTGAAAGGTTGGAGGTTTGAACCCACCAGCCACCCCGTGGGAGAAAGATGTGGCAGTCTGCTCCTGTAAAGATTTACAGACTTGGAAACCCTATGGGGCAGTTCTACTCCATCTTATAGGGTCGTTGTGAGTCAGAATCGACTTGATGGCAATGGATTTTTTAACGGCAACTGTTGTAGTTCTGGCACCTTGACTAGTCCTGGCTCATAGTAGGTGCTTCATAATGTTTTGTGAATAAATGAATGACATAAAAACTTTTCAAAGCATTAATAAAGAAAATCTAGAGTCTCTAGCACGATAAGGGATGCTAGAGAGTCTTAACTCTCTTTAATACTATATTAAAAAGAGCCAGACAATTTGATTGTTTTGCTCATTTCAATGGTGAGACATGTAACTCGTTCCATGAGTGGCTAGGTGGGGCTTTGATTTAGAATGGAAGGTTCTGTCTCTGTAGCTTGAATCTAGGAGACCGTTACAGAAACCTGCAAGTCCTTTCTATTATTTCTCCAATTACAAGCGTTTTGACATGGAGGCTTGAGATAATAACCTCAGTTGGTGTGGCAGCTTAAGAGTGAACAGCCTGATGTTATGGCTTTTATGTAAAATAGGATTTAACATTAGAGAGGCAATAGCCAGCTCCTTATCTATGTCTCCAGGTATAGCCACCCCGGTTCCTCTGATTCTAGGCTTTGCCTGCCTTCCTGCTACTGGACATGGGTTTATACAAAACTGCTTCAAGGCACTTGTTTGCTCTCTTCTAGCATATTGCTTTTGTGGAAACAATGCCAGTATTGCCATTCAGTCTAGTTGATAATTTGGCATCGTTTGGCCAGATCTTAGGGGAATTCATGATTTGTAAAACAAATGTAGTGACTCCAAAAACATGCTTGTTTTCATGGCATTTTATTTGCAATATGTTTTCTGTTAAGTATATTTCAAATAATTGATACCATGTGTGGGAAGTCGTATATAACATTACATGAATCTTCTGGGTGTCTTAGTTATGAATATCTAAAGGTTCATTCTAGAAGGGTGGCTTTTTTATTGATAGTTAAGCGCTCGAGACACATATATGCTCTGAAATTGGTAAATACGCATGTATGCAGAGAAATGCAAATAGTGTTAGCACTATCATTTTTGTGTCATAGACCAGCTTCTGAAACTATCTGGCATGGTTTCTCTTATCCTGCTGCAGAAATTGAGCACTGCTGGCATGATTAGGTGTTGTGATGATGGATGCTAGGAGCGTGGTGTTTGATTCCCGCTGGCAGGTTCCCCCAACACACTGGCAGAGGAGGTGGACCATCTTTAGGTAACATGTGCTCTGATCTTAATGCATATGAGTTTATAGCATTTCTTTAATTGTCCAATTTGTTTTATGTTGCCAGGTGGTTTTGATTAATGAACCAAAACAAGTGAATTTGTGTACAGAAGACAGAAAGAATTACAACTCAGATGGTTGCTTTTAGGTCAGTACAAGTTACAATAGAAATATATAATCCAGTTACTGATGCAACATTAATTCCTTCCATATTGAGGGGGATGAAGTACCAAATTAAAATTCCAACATTTCCTTCCTCCTTTTAATCTTCCTACATACAAGCAAAAATCTACAAAACCATGAATGAAATATTTTTGCTTTCCAGACACTGCGGATATTCATCAAAAACAGCTTCAATGCTACCAAGTACTGTGAGGTGCAGGAGATGGTCTTTAATGCTGCTCTTCTTCTGTCTTTTTAGGAGAGGAGGCAACAGGCCTTTTGCTGCTCTGCTTCAAAAGTGCAAAGCCTAAATCATGTGTTGTCCCCTTTCTGTTTTTTAAAAATATTTTTATTATACAGTTTTCCTTCCCTTTGCCTTTTGCTGCTCTGCTTCAAAAGGGCAGAGCCTAAATCATGTGTTGTCCCTTTTCTGTTTTTTAAAAATATTTTTATTATACAGTTTTCCTTCCCTTTATTTATTTAAATAGTACAAATACAGTGCTAACTAAATGATAAACAATATTCTAAGTGCTTTACAAATATATACTTTTATTTCCCTTCCTATTTCTTTTATTTGCCCTTTTGTCCTTTTTTTTCTTTCTCTGAGTCAGTTAGTTTTACTTATTAACCAACTCTTGGACAAAAATTGCTGTCTAATTTTTTATACTGGGTAAATGCAAATAGTGCATAGATTTCTCATAAGGATGTATGGCTGCTTCAAACAATGAAAGGACATCTCCGTGTAAGGACAGTAGTGAGCTGCATGGGGTTTCTAGGTGGCAAAAATGTCCACTGATCTCCTGCACTCAGTTTATATTTTTGTCTGGCTGGGCTTTTTTCTTTTCCCAACTACATCCGTCTATTCGGTTTTACAGTCAAGTTGAAAACATTTCATAGTCAAATGAAGTTGGCAAACTACTGCCTTTAGTAAGCTTTCCATCTGGAAAATTACACTGTATGCTTGCTTATTAAAAGGTCCTACAATTAAGAAACCTGGTTGTTGCTTTTTATTCTTTTATTCTTTTTTTTTTTGTCTTTTATGCTGGAAAAATATACTACTATTCAACCTCCACTGTAAGATCGGGATCTCTGAGAACTCCTTTTTTATTGCAGCATCTATGAATGTATTCCTGCTCCTAAAGGAATGAGGTATTTTCACTTGCAAAGGAAACCTATTTTTAACTTAGCTTATTTGACCATGAAACTGATTTTTTTCAAGGAACAATTACCGATGTTTGGAGGAATAATTGGAAGCCAGTTAAGAAAAACCTGGTCTATACATTCAGCTATTGCATTCAGTAAGTGTGAACTATAATAATTTTACTTTCATGCCTAAAACCCTTCTGTGACTCTTCTTGTTCACATGATAAATTAAAACTCCCTGCTTGTATACAAGCCCACCTGCTACCTGACCACACCGGTCTCTACAGATCATGTTTTATCCCCTTTCTTTTATCATGTGGTGTAGTTCTATCAAAGCACTTAGAATTTTCCCAATCTGCTATGCTGTTTTCTGCCTGCATGCCTTTGCAAGTGCTATTTCTTCTTCCTGGAATGCTCCTTTATCCCTAATGCTTTCAGCAGACTCCTACTCACCCTTTCAAGACCCTCACAAAACCCTAACACTTTAATGACCATTGGAATATATGGTTACCCACCTACATTTTCTGCCTCTCAGGTTTATTGGGGAGCTACTTTCCCACTTATAGTGCATGCTACTGCAAGGTGTAGGCCTTCATGACTGTTTGAAATGAAGAAATGGGCATGTGGTGCAAATTATTGTTTTTACAGGGTGTTATATGAGGGATCTGAATTTTTGGTTGGGAAATTAGAATTTTGAGAATTTTATTTTGGGACACATTTGTTTCAGTGGACTCTGGGGAGGGGGATAGAATTAGTAGGGCAATGTATGTCCCCCTGGACTCTGAGGGTAGTCTTGTGGGAGGGGTAAGGAAAAAAAAAGCCCTTACTATCTATCAAAAGTTCAGATACATTCAATGATTCAGCATGCTTCCATTAATGAAAACACATGGTATCAACAAAAAATTCAAAGCAGAAAATAATTGGTCTTGAAAGAGCTAAGTCTCTCTCTGTGATACCTAGGAAGCAGTGATTCCTCCATTGTGTCTAGTATCTTTCTCCATCGTTGCACTTATCATACTTTATTGCCATGATTGACTTACATATGTTTGTCCACTACTAGCCTAAGAAATTCTTGAGGGTAGGGTAACATTCATCTTTCTATTCTCAGTGCCAAGCATACTGTCTGGCAATTGTAGGTGTTCAATAAACAGGTGTTAGATAAATTACTGAATCAATGCTTACAAATAAGACTACAATCAACCAAAAATTTCCCTGCATATCTACTGTATGTAAGGCTCTGTGTTAATGACTATGGATGGTATATACATGAGTAAGATATAGCTCCTGCACTGAAGTACTTCATAATCTAGACAACGATTTACAGATTTATAGTCAACAGATATGCAAGGAATTAAGTACACTACAAGAAAAGTGAAGTAAATATTATAATAGAAAATAAATTGTGCTATGGACGGACTAAATATGCAGTGGATGAGAAAGATTTTAGGAAAGAAGTAACCTAGCTTGAGAAGGTGGCACAATGCTTTGCAGGCAGTGAATAGGGTTGGGAGGTAGCATTTTGAATGAAAAAGCATCATGGGTGAAGCCTGTTCTTGGAGATTTGTAATGGTCTCATTTTGAAAAACTCAAGGCATTGGTCAGCAAAGTAAGAAATGTGGCTGTCATGGTAACAGAAAACCTGTAATGGAGGTTCTTGGATGTCTTCCTAAGATTTTGGATATTTCCTTATAGGTGTTGTATAGCCACTGAATGTTTTTAAGCTGGAAATATGCATTGCTGAGTCTTTATTTTAGAGGGAAAACTGGCCATAAAAAGGAGACAGTAGACAAGAAGGAGAAGAGATCAAAGGAGATCAGTTTATACTTTACCACATATCTCATTATATGATTGCCCTTCATAAAAACCCATCAATAAATTGAATACATCTAAAACTCTAATCTGGCCCCAAAGTCCCTGCATGATATCACTCATCCTCACTTTTTCAGCTCTATGCCATCTAGCCAAATTCCATTCATTTATCCGCATATATTTATTGAGTAGCTCCTCTGTTCTAGGCACTGGGCTAGAACCTTTTTTTTCGTTTTGTAACAAATACAGACTTCTGCTTCTTCTCATGGGGAGCATATTTTAGTGGGTAAGTGGGTGAAACAGTTAAAATCCCAAGAAAACAAATGTATTCAATAACTATAAACTGTGGTGAACCTGATGAGGGAAAGGACAAGGGGCTGAGCTAAACCACACACTGTGAGGACTATTTTGAACAGAGATGTCTGGGAGGTCTCTCTGAGGAGGTGGCCCTTACACTGAGTTATAGAAACACAGTGCATCAAAATGTGGCAGGAGAAAGAGCCTGCCTTCCTGGCAGAGGGCAATGTATGGGCCAGTGCTTGGAGAGCAGGACATAGACTGTAGTGGATATAAGGGGTAAAATAGGAGATGAGGTTGGTGAGCTACGGAGAGCCAGATGGGGCAGGGCTGCATAGGTGAGGAATTTGGATGTTGTTCTTGTTATAGAGGAGGGCTTCGATGTTCTAAGTGGAGCATCAGAGGTGCTGGGTGGAAATTGGATGAGGGCAGGCAAGACAGGTGGAGGGAGGCTGTTGCAGGCACAGAGCAGAGCCAATTGTGTCCTACACTAACCTAAGGACAAAGATTACACTGGCCTTCCCTCTATCCCTCCAGTGGGGCCCACCCCCTGCCTCAGCCTTTTCACCAATTCTGCCCCTGCTTCAAACTCTACTCCACCTTAGTTAGCTTCTGCACATTTCCCAGCCCGACTCTTCTCTTAGGGAAATCTTTCCAACTTCCCAGAGTAGTTCAGCCTCCCTTGCCATAGATTTCATCACTCCTGTACTTTTTCTTCACAGCATTTATCATGGATATAATTATCTGTTAATCAGTTGCCATCAAGTCAATTCCAACTCATGGCGACCCCATGTAGATGTCAGAGGAGAACTGTGTTCCATATGGATTTTAATGACTGATTTTTTGGAAGTCGATCACCAGGCCTTTCTACTGAGGCACCTCTGGGTGGGCTGGAACCTTCAACGTTTTGGTTAGCAGCCGAGCACGTTAACCTTTTGCACCACATAGGGACTACCAATGATCTGTTCCTTTCTTTCTTTATTTTAATGAGTGTTTCCACCACGCATCTGTCAATTTATCGTATTGTGGTGGCATGCACGTTGTTGTGATGCTGGAAGCTATGCCATTGGTATTTCAGATACCAGCAGGGTCACCCATGGTGGACAGGCTTCACTGGAGCTTCCATACTAAATAGACTAGGAAGAGGGACCCGGTGGTCTACTTCTGAAAAACTGGCCAGCGAAATTACACGTGGCATCTCAATCTTCACTGCAGTTCTGGAGATGGGTATTAGTATCCCCATTTAATGAGTGAAGCAACTGAGGTTTAGTGAGATTAATTAACTTGCTGAGCAAGTTATGCAAGCTTATGCAACTGGTAAATAGGCAAATAAAATCAAAATCATGTTTGCCTGATTATAAACCTAGTAATAGCTGGAGTGGTCAAGGCAATATAAAATTAAATGCTCAACTTTAACAGTTGCCATGAGTTAAGAGAAATGTACATTCTCTTAAGAGAAAGGTTATAGTCTGTACAACATGATAATGGTAAAAATGAGGGAAGAAAATAGTGAAAGATAAGACAGAGGTTTTGATGTATGTGCCTGGTAGGTGGGGTTGCCACTAAACCCAAAGGGACTATAAAGGGACAGCAGGAGATAATGAGATTGGCTCTGGTCATGTTGATGAGACATCCTTGTAGTAATATTAGAACAACAGAAGAAGGGATAATTACGGGTCAGGGTCGTAGAAGACAAGGAAGCTTGGGATCAAGAGCAAAACCGAAGGGGTTTATCTTGGAAAAAGTTTCCTTTCACACTCAGATGAGAGTTATCAAAGTCCCATTTCCTAAGGTGAATCTACAAGTAATGAAATGAAGGATCTGGAAGTAGAAGTGAAAATAATACATTGGTAAATGTGCCTCAGAAGTGAGGATAGAGACTTCGGCTCGCTTACTTTGGGCATGTTATCAGGAGGGACCAATCCCTGGAGAAGGACATCATGCTTGGTAAA